ACTGATAAGGAAGTTTGTCTATTAGAAATTTAATTTTGAAAGCTTTGAGGATAGAGTACTTGAGTAAGGTATATAAACTATTAGAATTGTTAAATAAATTGATATATATATAAAAGAGTATCTAATTAGTAGTAATGTATCTGATATTCTAGTTTGCTATTCTTTGTTATAAGTATTATATAGCAGTATGAATTGCTTGTTGAATATATTTGATAGTATTTCTGAGTTTATTATTAATTATATTTTATTAGAAGAAAGATATAACTATATTATGATCAATATTATTAGGAGTAAAGATAATTGTTAGCTTATTATTAAGAAAATTAGTTTATAATACTTTGATATCTAATAGAATAAAATCAAGCTAGATATTTTTTTGTGTAATAATGATAAATATTAGATACTGTGAGCAGAGAAAATGACTGTGACTCTGTTACTCAACAATACCAAAAACTCACATAATCAAAGGTAAGTACCTTTTTGAAAGAGATGTGTTAGATTAGGCTAAGGACTTGGTAAGGCTTTAGGTTACTTAGGTTCCAAATGTCTAGAAAGGTTCAGTTATGTGAGCAAGAGGTATAATGAATAATGATTTATAATTTATAGTTTGAGGAGTGTATTAGTGAAGTAATGTTATTGGATCACGTAGATAAGAGGTTAAATGAACGATTTATTTTAAGTTAAATTTATTGAAGAACTTATAGTATTAGTGTTATTATATCGATTTATAAAATTAGGACTTTATTATTTTTAATAAAACAAAGGTGAGACTTAATTCTCCTAAGGGCCATTCCAGCCTTTATTTATAATATATTTTTCTTAAAGTTACATATTATATTTATTAAATATATTTCCTATATTCTATATATTCCGCATAGATCGTATTCATTATATGTATTGTATACATCATATATGATATATGCAATAAATGTGATATATACAACTTGTTCTACGAGTTTGTATTCTGAAAGAAACATGACTAGTCAATTATATTACTTGTCACAGTTTTACTTCCTTAGTCTCTTCTTTACATTTCTCTTCCACTAAAGTCTGAGTGCTACAAGAGATCTTAGATTATTGATTAAAGAGTTTATTTTGAAGGTTTTTAATCTCTAAAAATCACAGAAGCTAGTAGTTGTAGTTCAGTAGATTTGCTCAATACCGCAGATAGAAAATACGTCATATACCCTTATAAGGTCAAATAGTAATGTTTTGTTGTTGTTTGTGAAAGTGACTCTTGTTGTACTGGTATGTTGGTAGCAAATACTATATCTAGATAGTATATATAGTATAGTATCTCTACCTAGTTCTGTATTCTTAAGGCCTGTATGAACATCAAGTAGGTTATAGTTATATAGGTCATAGAGTTCTGAGGTTCAGAGAAGAGTAGCAGTGGTAATATGACATTAACTGGCATGAGACTTGTAATATTAGCAAGAATTTCACTTAAATTAGCTATCTGTTCGTAAATTAAATTTTTCTCTCTTTCACTAGTGTTTTAGTACTACTTATATATTTTTTTTTGTACTCTGATCTAGATTGATAATTTGATTTCTTTTCTTTAAAGCTTTTCATTTTTTTGATAATTCTTTTCATCCTCTTTTTTTTTTTTTTTTTTTTTTTTTTTAATATGTTTGATTATAATACTTCTTCAATAGTATAACGTTAAATGGTATTGCTAGGATCTTCCTATCTATAGTTTGTAATTTATACATATCCTAGTATAGTATCTAATAAATATAAAACAGACTATCCTACTTCAGTTCCAACTTCACACTTTTGTTATATTTTTTGAACGTATAGTACAACAAGACTTTATCTCCTATGAATAAATTAGGTAAGATTTTGATTTTTTTGTCATACTGTTTCTTTTGTTTTTGCTAAGTGTATTGTATTCTCACTATAGCCTCATGACAGGTTATGAATAAGTTTTCTAATAATTGAAATATCTTTTGTATTATTGTTCTTTCTAATATTTCTTCTGTTCCTTTTAGATTAATTGGTTAGTGAGCTTCTCTTCTATGCATTAAGTAAAATAGGCTATTTTTAGTAGTTGTATATTTAGAGGTGCAGTATGCAAACAATACTGCAGGAATTATCAGATCCTAATTCTAGACATTATCCACTGATCTAGCTATAGATTCATACAAGGTCTTGTTATATCTTTCTACCAACTTGTTAGTTTATAGATGGTATAGTGTTAACAGGAAGTACTTTATTTTGAATTTTTCTAATAACTTATCGACTAACTAATTTCTAAAGTAGGTATTGCAGTCAGATAATAACTTTTTAGAGCATCTATACCTATACATGATGCCTTCAAAAATAAAGTCTACTACACTTTGGGCATCAGCAGATATAATTGCTTTTACTTCCAGCCACTCTGTCATATAGTCAGTAGCTATAACTATATAATGTGAGTTTTGAGATATAATTAGGAGGGGATTAATAATATCTATTCCTACCTTATAGAAAGGCTTTATTACTGGTATTGGTTGCAAAAATCCTTAGTACTTATTCTTTTCTCTCCTCTAACAATTTTTTGCATGACTAGATATACTTCCTAATATATTCGAATACTTGAGGCCAATAGTATATCCCACAGATCTTTTTGAATATAACTTTAGCTCCAAAGTATTCTCCAAGTGAGTAGTCATGTGTTAATAAGAGGATGAGGTCGATTTCATACTTCTGTACTACTTTTAAAGGTTGGTCTGAATTTTTCTTATTTTTTTTATATAATAATCCATTCTTTAGTATAAAAGATCTTTTATAATTAATTAATCGCTTCTTTTATTTCTTATCTAAGCCATTTTCTATGAATCCTTCTTATAAGTATCTTTTTATTTGGTTGTAATTTTCTATTTCTATTTTGAATTTCTTTTGCCAAGACACTAACTACTTGGGCTAGATTAGATTTATCATTTGGTTTAGTATATCTAAATATCTTTCTTTTAATCTTTCGTTTATTATTATTATTTGTTTGTTTTTTTTTTTTTTTTTTTTATTTATGTTTATTAATATCAATCTCTAACCCTGCTTCAAGACAAATTGCTTTCTGATCATTTCTCAAATTGGTAACTCTTTTGACTTCAATTACTTATAGATTTAGTAGTTCAGTATACCTTAAATCAATTCCGGTATCACATAAATATTCTCTTCTAACCAATTCTTGTTTAGCTCTAAAGGTTACCTAGTTTTTTAATGTCAACAAGTATTTAGGATCTGAAGCCACTAGATTAAAACTATGATATTCTATTAAATAAATAGCTTTCCTTCAGTCTAGGATTTCTAGTGCAAGGTGTTTAAAATGAGTTGGATAATAGTATATTTGTATATATTACTATAAGATTTATTTGGTCCTACGTATTCTAAATTTCCTCTGTATGTAGTTTCTAATTTTATATATAATATTAAGATTACCTGTTAGGTTCTTGGTTCAAAAATTTCTTCTTTCTGCTTAGGAGATTTGCTAAACTCAGGTACGTTAGTTTGTTTTTTATCTTCTTAGTTTTTGTCCTTCTCTCTTTTTAATCATTTACTATTTTCTTCTATAGCTATGTATATCTCCATAAAATTATTATCTCTTTTATTTATACAGGACAATATATCTGCATTTCAATAAATACTTCCCAATCTATGCTGGATAGTATAGTTGTAGAGTTGTAACCAAAGTATCTAATAGGCCCTTTTATCTTTCAACTTCATATTATGCAACCATTTAAGTGCTAAATATTTTGTGATAATTACAAATAGCTTAAAGCTAAAATAATAGTGGTAATATTCTACTACTCAAATAACTACCAGACATTCTAATTTGCATACCGAATAATTTCTTTTGGTTTTAGATAGACTATGACTAGCATATGCAATCATATGTTCTTTATTATTTTTTCTTTTTGCACCAAAACAGCTCCTAATCTAGTTCTAGAAGCATTGATGTACAGGTAAAACATATCATTGAAATCAGAATACTTAAGGATAGGCACTGTAGTCAGGTGATTTTTTAACATTTCAAATACTGCTTGTTGCTCCAGTCCCTATTCAAAGCTAATATCCTTTTGCAGTAATTTATATAGAGGCCTTGCTATCATGGCGAACCTATTTATAAACCTCTGATAATATGAAGTCAGACCAAAAAAGCCTTTTAGTTAGCGTAATATTTTTGGTATAAGATAATTTTTAACCTTTTCTACTTTACTTTCATCAGATTATATACCTTAACGTCTAATCACATATCTAAAGAATTGTATAGTAGGTTTGAAGAAACTACATTTTTCTACATTAATCTTTAAGTTTGCTTTAGCCAACTTATCAAAAACCTTTTTTAGATATCCTAAATACTTGTCGAATATTTGTAAATAAATATTTATGTTATTGATATATATGACTATAAACCTTCTGATATACTTTTTTAAAACCTGGTTCATCAATCTTTAGAAAGTAGTAAGTGTATTCGTTAGGCTGAATAGTATTACATTGAATTCAAAAAGACCTTCCCTTGTGATAAAGGCTATTTTCTCTTTATCCTTATTCTCGATTCTAACCTGCTAGTATCTACTTTTTAAGTCTAGACTAGAAAACTAATTCGCAGTACTGAAGATTTCTAATAAATTATTGATTCTTGGTAATAGATAGGTATCTTTTCTTGTTATTTAGTTCAACTTCCTATAGTCTATATATAAATATAATTTTCTGTCTTTTTTTGGAACTACTACTATAGGCAAAACCTAAGAGCTATTAGACTTTCGAATTAACTCTCTTTCTTTCATTTCTTTTAGCTCTTTTTCTATGAACTCATTCTCACTTAGTGATACCCTATAGGCTCTTTGTCTTATGGGTTTAGCCTTGCTAGTCTTGACTTGATGAGTTATTTCTGCTATTTTTCTAAGTCTCTGTATATCATTCATGAATAGGTTTCTTTCTTTTTGAAAGAATATCTTCATTTTTTCTTTCATTTCTTTATCTAGAATATCATTTTGAAGAAACTTTTTTATTTGGTTGTCTACAGTAAGTTCTGTTTCTTTGATTTCTCTTGTTTCTTTTGTTGACAGCTCTTTTATATTTGTTAAATAGATTGTCAGACTCATTACTTCTTCCTAGGAGTTATAAAACAATTCATTTCCTTCTTCAGTATTTTTTCCATGTAATAACCTTTTGCTTCAACTAATTCCTTATCTTCATAGATATATTCACCAATTTCATCTCCACTATCACTATTCTAGTCTTTTTCTTCAAGGACTTCTAATTTTTTTGTTCTATTATTAGAGATGAATACTTCAATTCTTTTGCTGTTATGCTTAAGAAATAGCTTTTATTCATCAAAATGTATTCACCTTATGCTTTTTGAAACCAATTGTTATCTAGTAACAGAGTTTCGTCTGCAAATTCAATTACTTTGAAAGTACTAGATAAGAGAATGTCTTGTATAGCTATTTTTATGTTATTAATTTGCTCTAGTATTCTTGTTCTAGTACTGGTTACTATGATTACTACTGTTAAGGATAGCTTATCTATTTTTAACCTTAACTTGTCTATTAGCTTCTTAGTTATTATACTCACTGCAGCATCTGAATCTAATATGGCCCTAATAGGATTTCCTTTAATTCTTATATAACAATGGGTAGCAGTAGTCTTTTAAGTATCTCTAAAATTTACTACGTAGGTTTTTTGGGTTTCTTGAGTTACAAGAGGTCAGCATAATATTTGAGCTAGGTTTCTTCTTTGGTTTGGGTATTGTAACATTTGTCTTACTGTAGCTCTAACTGATAAGGATAAAATATCATCTATTATGTTATATAGTTTTAACTTATCTATTACCGATAATTCACATTTTTTCTTTGGTATTCTAATTTTTCTCAACTCATCTAATTCTATAGGTTCTAACTAGTTTCCTATATCTTCTAAAAGTAGTTTATTTTCTACTTAAGGCCAGAGCCTGTTATTCTACTTTGATTCTGATTGCAATTTAGATCTTTTTTCAGAATTTTTAGGCTGAACTTATTGTTTTCTTTTATCTACTGCATATAATTTCTCTTCACTTTGTTTTTTATGTTCATAATAATTTACCCTTCTAATATTATCCATTTGTCTTTCTCTTTCGATAGGTTCACTGAGTTTTCTTTTTGATATACAGTACTTAGTAATATGTCCTTTCTCATTACATCTAAAACAGATGATTTCTTTTTTTGTCTTGAAACTCTCCTAGTACCTTTCTTTTTCACATGTATCCTTTTCTTGGTTATAGATGGTAGCATAGTTTACTGAGAGTTGTTGTACTTGCTTCACTAATACCTTGATTATTTCATCTTTTTTGTCAAGAGTTATTGATATTTCACATAGGTGAGTGCCATAATATTTATCTGCCTTAACTTTCTTTACTACTGCAATAGCTTCGTTAAGGTTATTTGAAGATGTTACTGCTACAAAAGTTGTCATTTTTCCTTTTAACCTACTTAAAAATATTCTTATAATATATTGAATAGGTAGGGAGTCAGTTGGGTTTATATAGCTCAAGAGTTTCTTAAACTTGGTGGCATAGATATTCACCTTTTTATTTTCGAGTTGGATTAGATTATTCAACTAGATGTACTATTTGTGCTGCTTTTCAAGAGTAGCAAAGAAAGCAACCAACAAGTGGTAGAAACTCTTATCTTGCTTGTTATCATTTTTCTATTCTTCTATACCTACTTTACTATCTTTATACTATTCTACTACCAATCCTTTTAGATAACTGGAAGCTATTTTGAGTTTTCTCTCGTCTATTCAGTTATTTGCTTCTGCAATATGCTTAAAATTGTCAAACTACTCTATAGGGTTCTTGTCATTACTTCTACTGAAACTTCTAACCTTTACATAGTTTGTTTTCTTTAACTCAGACCATTTCCTTTAACAATATCCTTGGCTATATCTTTGAAGAACTTGGTTATACTTTCTATTAACTCCTTAAGCTTGGTAGTGTTCATAATTGCAAGGCTGAACTATGCAAGAATTCTTTCCAGTATATTTCTACTATTAGGCTTTTATTCAACTTAAGTAGATTTCTTAGTTAATTAAACTTCCTTATACTAATATAATTTTCGAATTAGGAGAGAGAGAGAAGGAGTAGTGAAGTTATTACCTTATTTTTTAGATCTCATAGTTACTACCAAAATATGAGCAGGAAAAATGATTACAACTCTGTCTCTCAACAATACCAAAAACTCATGTAATCAAAGATAAATACCCTTTTGAAAGAGGTACATTAGATTAGGCTAAGGGCTTAGTAAGGCTTTGAGTTACTTAGGTTCCAAATGTCTAGAAAGATTTGGTCATATGAGTAAGAGATATAACGAACAACAATTTATAATTTATAGTTTAGAAAGTGTATTAGCAAAGTAATATTATTGGATCACATAGATAAGAGGTTAAATAAACGATTTATTTTAAGTTGAATTTATTAAAAAACTTATAGTATTAGTGTTATTATATTGATTTATAAAATTAGGACTTTATTATTTTTAATAAAGCAAAGGTGAGACTTAATTCTCCCAAGGGCTATTTCAGCCTTTATTTATAATATATTTTTCTTAAAGTTACATATTATATTTATTAAACATATTCTCTATATCTTATATATTTCACATAGGTCGTATTCATTATATATATCATATGCATTATATGTGATATATATAATGAATGTGATGTATATGACTTGTCCCACTAGTTTGTGTTCCAGAAGAAAGTGACTAGTCAATCACGTTACTTGTTACAGTTTCTCTTCCTTAGTCTCTTCTTCACAATACTATAGTAGTTAGTCTTTTGTTTTTTGTATTTTGTTTAGTTTATGTAATAAGTAGGATAATAGAGAGGCATAAGTATTAATAATAGATTTAGAGATAGTATAGATATTTTTTTTAAAATTTAGCAGTTATGCTATAATTTTATTTAGATTTGTTTTTTAAATGAAAACAGTATTATTTAGCTATATACTATCTAAAATCTAATTTTTTAAGCCTTAACTCACTGAGATCTGATAATCTAGTATAGTGAATAAGTTGTCAGACCACTATATAAAAGGTCTAGAGTTCAAATCCTACTATCAACAGAATTGAATAATTACCTAGATATCTGTATTTAACTTATGATAAACTCTGTTCATTTCTGAGGTTGTAAACCTGTAAATCACATTATACTAATGTTGTTTGAATATTAGAAGTATAACAAAATGTTGGAGTTGTATGATATGAATAAATCGAGATAGGATCTATGAGCAGAGGACCTGCATAATAGAAATTCCAAGTTAGGTGAAGTAGTACAGATTTTAACAGTCACACTAGTTAATGCTTGATTTAACAAGGATTTCTGAGTATAAATCAAATAGGTGCGAGTAAGTTTGTAGTGTAACATAGCCTGGTGCCTTGAATTTAGTAGCAATACTATCTTAGTTTAGTAGCTAACTAGATTGGGAGGATTTATTCATGAAACATTTGGAAATCTAAACTGGTAAAGGGCCACAGCTGGAACTAAGTTTGTACGAACATTGAATAAGAATATATGCAAGCTAGATTGGGATATAGTATAGTATAGTTAGATATCATGATACCTATTTGTTAGAAGCATTGAAGTAGAACTTATCTGAGTAAGACCTAGACTCATAACAATAAAGTTTGCAACTAATGTTAGCTTGGGTGCCTCCTAAAGTGAAGTAGTACAGAGTTATAGTTAACTATAAAGAGTAACATTTGCGATAAATAGGATAGGACCAGAGAGTTTAAATAGAGAATCTTCTAAGAGATTTCAGATATAGCAACTAGTGTAGAACCTTCGAGTGGACTACTTAAAATAGACAACCTAAAATTATACATATAGCTAATTGTACTCTTACAATATGTATCACTTCTAAAATTTATGAAATTAATTAAGTTTAGCTAATAGCATTTGTATAAAGTAAAAAAAAAAAAAAAAAGCCTTGACTCACCTAGTTATCTCAAGGATACTTATGTATGATCTGCCATAGTGACTTTTGATCTATGCTAATATAATTTATAAAGTTTGTAGGTTATATATAGCTAATAAGAAAGACATTATAGCCTATCATGACTAACTTAAAAACCAACTTGCTACTACTCCCTCTTTTACTTTCTTAGCTATACTATCTAATGCTATTTTAAGACTAATATTATAATTTTCTGTATTCTCATCTACTCTGCAGCTTGCTTTTTTTATTATAGCTTCTTTTTTAAGTTGCTTTTTTCTTTTTTTCTTCTGTGTAAATTTTTTTTCCTAGAGATATTTTTTTTTCTCTTATGTTTCTGTGTCTTTATACATTTTTTTCAGACTTCTTTATATACTAATTTTATTCAAATATGCTAAAAAAGCACCAAAATCTCATTATTATTCTTTTAGAGCTTAGTAATATTTGTATTTTTTCTGTATCTTCTTTATACAAGATTCATCTTATTTATTTTTTTCTTTTTTCCAATTTCTTTTCGTGTTCTTGTTGAAAAACTTTCTGTAGATCTTCTAAGTTTTAGTCCTTCTCCTTTTTTTTATCTTCCTGCAGTCATTCTTATACTTCTTTTTAATTTTTTCAAGTGCTTAATATGCTTTCTCATATGTGATTAGATAGTTTATTGTTTTATTTTCTCTACCACATCTTTTGCATAGACTGTTTTTGTATAGCTGAGGTTTTCTGCTATTTAGAACTCTAATTGTTAGAAAGAGATTTTCAATATACTTAATCTTGAAAAGATATAGATAGTTTACTTCAGAGTTTTGAAACTATGTATAATATCCTTCTAGTATTTTTTTAAAAGCTTTCTAGTTTTGTTTTTGAATTCTTAATTAGTATCTATTATTATTTTTTTTCCTTAGCTATATCTATTCTGCTTTGAATATTGTTTAAACTATTTTTTTAATGAATGCTCTTAACAGAGTTTCAAGATTTAGCTCTTTCCATTCTGATATATACTTTATACTACTATTGCTAGTATTGTTTAATCTTGTAGTATAGACTATTTGTAATCCCTCATTTGCTAAAGTATCTGCTAAGTTATTATAAGTATTACCTGAATAGCTCTTGATTTTTATAAATTTTAGTTGTAGTGCTTTGCTTTTGCAAGCTTTTTGAATTGTATACAGAATATTGCTATTCTTAAACTTTAATCATACTTGTACTTTTTCTTTTTTTAGACATCTCTTGATTGCAGAGATTGTGCAGATACTATCTGTTCTTATTTCTACTATATATTTATTTAGTACTAAAAGGATTGCTACTAAACAAGCTATTAACTCTGCTCAAATAAATAAGAACTAGTTTTTAATTCTTTCTTTGTTTCTAAAAACTATATTATTTGCACTATCTATTTGTACTATACTATATCTCATTATTAACTTATTTCCAAAATCCTCTCTATCAAGTGAGCTATCTATATAGAATACTATTTTTTTTTCTTCTTTGTTTGCTTCTAACCTATCTTTTAATTCTCTTCTTGTTTCCATATTCTGTATGATCTAGTTAATTAACTTTGCCTCCTAGCTACTTTTTACTTCAATATATTCTAGGTTCTTAAATTTTTTGAATTCCTCTACTTTGCTTTTCTTTGTATCTTTTCTTACTTTTTCTAGATACTCTCTGTTGAATATTACTTGTGATATATTATCTCTTTTCCATATGAAGCTTAAGATGTTCTGTACTTTTCTTAGAGAAATTCTTTGTTTTTAATTACTTCTTTTTAGTTTGAAGCTATCATCATATACTCTTGTTTAGCTATTTTCTTGAAGTATGTTCTCTCTATTTTCTTCTCAGATTTTGACTTTGACTAGCTTCTTTTCTTTTCTAGTAATACATCTAAATTTACTCTCTTTGTTTTTCTTTCCTTTTATAAGAACCTACTCTTTTTTTCTTTTATCTCATGAGATTTTCTTTTCTATTTCTTGTATCTGAAAGCCTTTTTTCTCTTTATATTCTTTCTTTACTTCTTTCAATTCTTGGTTTTCTAGTATTTCACTTTTAATACTTTGAACTACTTTGCTTTTTTGCCTATATATCTTTTTTCTTCTCTTATTTTGAATTATTTCTAGGTGACTATTTTTTTCTGTTTATCTTCTAGGAACTGATTTATATACTATAAGTTGAGTTTGCTTATATCTGTTTGTACTTCTTTTATATTATACTTATTAAGAATATTGCTAATTAAGCAGTTTTCCTCTTCTTGTAA